ACAAACATGTAAACTAATCGCAGTCAATCTACTTAAACTACTAGTATACTACTACTATGGACAGCTTCCAAGAAAATTTCGAGTATTTACGCGTAAATCGTATTGCAATTTGCAAAAGCCATCAACAGGGCATTATCAGATCGCAGCTGCAGGCGCATTTAGACACAAAACATTTAGATCTAGCCCCGAAGACACGACGGAGCATTATTGAGGCTGCACATACAGAAGAAGCGCTGCGAGACTGGGCTGATGATATTTGTAGGATCGTGTATCCCCGCCCAGATGCTGCGCCATTACCCCATTTACCAGTATACGTAGACGGGCTGCAGTGTACACAGTGTGGGTTTATTTACCGCAATGTTAAGAGAATGCAGCAGCACTGCCGTAGTGCACATGACTGGCAGAGCAGCCGTCAACGCAGGGCAGGTCGACCAGGGGCTTCGCACAGTATGTGGACATCGAACGTGCTATGCCAGAAGTTGCATAACGCTAGTACGTTGGGCCGACTGTTCCCAGTCCAGGGCGCTGTGCCCATTGAACCCGATGACGGTGACGACGAGGAGGCGCGGCTAAGGCAGGCATTTGCTGCTGCAGCGACGCAGATAGACCAGGTAGTAGAGCGCAAGAACCCCAACAACGTCATTGAGGACGATAGCAGCCAATGGGGATATCAAGTATGGCTAAATCGAGCGGGTTGGGCACGACACTTAGGAGGGCTGAGCCGAGAGTGGCTGCTAGACATGGCGCAGACACCCCGCTACCACGAACGGGCACTGCAGGACGTGTGCTGGGCAGCCGAGATGGTAATTTGGAGGGCGCAGCAGGCGTCCCACTCCAGTGTAGTAGGCATGCCCGCCATGATGCACATTAACCGGCGCGAGTATGGGACGACCAGCAACGAGAAGCCGTTCAATGCAAGCCAGACGGAGCCGACGATGAAGAAATACCGCAGCGTGTGGCTCCAAGTGATTGCGTACATCTGGCGAACGTACGAGCTACCCATAGTCCAGCCAGGTTCTAGCGATGGAGCGCAGGGCAGACGCCCACCATACCGCTTGACTAGCGAGCAGAAGGCATGCTTGGAGGAATTGAAGAATTTGACTGGGTATAACGCAGAAGAGGAGGCAGCTAGCGCAGGGCGGAGCATAGAGCTGGGAGGCAGCCACGGGGACAGTGACAGCGAGGACGAGCCGCTAGATGCAGAAGACGCCGAGGCGTTGCAGGACCAAGTGCTTGCATTCATGCTTGCGCTGCTGGATCACAAGCTGGCCAGCAGCGAGTATGAGAGCGGCTTGATCAGTGGCATGGCTGTGCTGGGCGTCAGCGCAGATAGGGCATGGCTGGATCCGCTTATGTATACCCCCAAGCAGTCGGCCATGGTTAGCATATCGCGCATGCTAGTGCTGTACCAAGCACACAAAGAGCGTAATGCTCAGATTGACAAGCTAGTGGCTGGGGGTTACTGTGAAGAGACGGCTAGCACTATGGCAGTAACCCATTTTGAGCTGGTGCAAGACATGTGCCACCGGTTTATGGCGCTAACAGACTATAACGGCCGGCCGACGCCCATGGACGCTATTTTGCGGCTGCGAGCATTTGGCTTTAAGATCCGGTATACTACCAATGCCGAGGGTGTAGTAGACTGGGTAGGTGACACGTTGTTGTATGGCCAGATCCAGTTCAGCATGGCGCAGCTACGGATGATGGTGCACGGCATGATTGCCAGCACGCGACAGGACATGCTGAAACAACTGCTACTGCTGCAGCTGGACAGTGAGGGCGATGTGATGCCCGAGACGACGCCGTGTCCCGCTATTTACTGGGATAAGCTGGTGGACAATGCGGCTGCGCAGCAGGCTGGGTGGAGTTTTATGGAAGATGCGCGTAACCGCCAGGCTACTAGTATAGGAGACCCCAAGCGCTGGCTACTAGGGCGTATTCAGCAGGAGAAGCGACTGCGACATGAGTTTGCTGATGCTGCTGCGTCGCGTGTGGCTATGGCGCGGGGTGGTGGGCTGGTGTGGGTGAAGGAGCGCATCCAGGCATACTACAAAGCCATGCAAGAAGCCCGCCACGCACTTGCCGTGCTTGTGCATATAACAGGAGGTGCACCACCGCGTGGTAGTGAGTTACTAACGATCCGTTTTCAAAATGATGCGCAGGGGAATAGTCGCGGAATTTTTATCGAAGATGGTGCAGTGGTTTTTGTTACTACTTACCACAAAAATATTGCCCAGACTGGACAAGGTAAAGTAATCCACCGCTATGTCCCACGCGAAGTAGGGGAACTAGTCGTGTTTTACTTGTGGTTTGCGCGTCCGTTTTGGCAGCGGTTGGTGGTGGCAGCGTGGGGGGAAGGGGCGGAGGAAGAGGCAGAGAGCGGGTATATGTGGGAGCCACGCCCAGAGCGGCGCTGGCAAGAACCCACACGTGGACGCAAGCGCTGTGCAGACCCGCAGGGCAAAAGAGGCGTGGGGAGAGCGAGCCGGGTAAGGACTACTGTGGCGTGGCGGGAGGCGTCTGAAGAGGAGGGTGAAGGAGAGAGTAGAGAGGAAGAAGAAGAGGAGGAGGGAGAGGAGAGACAGGCAGGAGAAGACGAGAGAGAAGAGAGCCGGGTACGGGCTGACAGGCCGCCCACTGTAGAACAGTGGAATTCCAACCGACTTAAGCTGAGGATTCAAAAGGCGTCGCTGCAGTACATGAGCGTCAAGTTGAATGTTATTGGGTGGCGGCATGGATCCAAGGCGATTTGGCGGCGGTATATCCAGAACCCCAAGGCACGCAAGGCGTACCTATCCTCAATCCTATCCTCAATCCTCGACAGAACTAAGGTCATTCCGACCTTAGTTCCGTTAGGGGTTGCTGAATTTCCCGACCTTAGTTCTA